GGCTCGAAAATGATGTCGGCCGTTTCTTCGCTTCGCAATCGCCAGAGTTTTGGGCAAAGGGCATCGAGCAGTTACCTGTGCGTTGGGAACATGTCATAGACAACAATGGTCTATTGGTCATTGGTCTAATGGTCATTGTAGACTGAAATTGCATTTCAATAAAGTTATACAATTTTTTACAATTTGCGCAGTGTTGCAATACTTTCTTTCCAACCCAATATGTACTAGGTTGACTTTCTTGCTTGTTACTCGATAAAGCAAGGACTGAATTGTAGAAGCTGAGATTTTCTGCAGGAGTTTTCTGCTGATTTAGCTATTAATATTTGTTGGTGTTGAAAACTGAAAGTCTTTTTAGAGCGTCTTTTCAGGAAACATTCAAACGTTGGGAGATAATAGAAATTCACCATGTATATTTTTCCTACTGTTTCCAGGCTTAATGATCACTTTTTATTTAATTTTCAGCCCTTCCCTGCCAGGCTTCAAAAAAAGATCCCAACTTCATACAAATAATGAAGGCTTGTAATTGCCATACTTTATAGCACTTGCATTGGTTATTCAATTGCTCTTGAACATCACATATATGAAGTGAAATGATTGACAGCATATTTTATTCATTTGGGTCAAGGCAAATTTTCCCTAAAATTAATCTAGCTACTGCAAGAACTGGTCAAATATAGCTATCTACTCTAAATAAATCATTGTGAAGGCAATAATTCCTAGTCGTCAAAATGGAACCAAAGGTTCCAGCTAAAATAATGGTGTTAGTTACTTTCCATCGTATTTCAGTTCTTTCACTACCACCATATGCCAATTCTCAATTGTGAACCATGTTCGCAAGCGGTAATGTAAACATCACGATTATGAAAATTGGCCCCGACTTTGGTATTGCTGTTAGGTGAAACATATGCCTACGACATTGGGCAAGCTCTCAACGTATGCCTGGCAGCTGAATTCTGCTTAACCCTTTTGCAGGCAATACAGCTACAGATGGAGGTGGTGGAGAAGGTGATGGAGATGGACATGGCGATGGACGCACTGGAACTTGTGCACCGGTATATCGAGAGGCAGGTCCAGCAAGAATCCATACTAAATAACATGAGACTGAGACATGGAGGCAGATGGCTCCTTAATATCGGACCTGGGAGGCCTTATAGCTCAAGGTATATTCGCTTTAAGGCGAATGGCAGCGAAGTTACTCTCTACAAGTGTTCTATGGCTCCCATCCCTCATTGATGTATCGATTCACCCGAGCAACCAACATTAACAAGATAGAGAAAACGCACTTCTGAATTATGAAAATAAAATGAGTTCTTTTCCAAAAGCAATTTTCTTCATGAGTGATAAGATAATTAGAAGAAAATTGTTAGAGCAAGGCAATTATTAAGACATAAATAACACACACTGCAGTACTGCATACTAATATGCCGTGCTGCATTATCTAAGGTTGCCCGATTCGCTGGAGCGAAAAATTTATAATGAGGGAGAATTTGAGATCATGCC